GAGAGTTGCGCTACTGTATATACTGTGCCCAGGGTATTCCTAATATGAAATATTAGGAATGCTCCTATGTTATAGTGAAAATCGTTGCTAAAGTATGAATGTCATTGTACAATAATGAAAAAGACAACCGGAATGAACGTCGAGTGCCTATATCTACGATGCTTGATTCCAGCTACCTGAAAATAAATTCTAAGTATAATCTATTGTATGCTCATTTTTCGCGCACGCTGGCTATATTTGTTCGTATTTTAGAAACATTAAATAAAGTTTTTTAATTGCAATATTGATATATTTTCTATTTTACTATCGATTTTTCGAGATATCTCATATTAGGAGCACAATTTTTACAGCACAAAAATATTGCAGCAACATTGCAGAAAGATTTCATTGCAAGATTGCAACATTGCACAGATATTGTGAAATATTGCTGCAATATTTCAGCAATATTGTAGCAACGTTAAAATGTCCGTTTCAGAAATATTGATATGTAATGTTGCAGTAATATTATAATATAATATACTAGCAATATTACAATATAATATACATATATGCAATATTACGTTTTGCACACATTTGAAGAATACTTACTGCATATTACAGAAACATTAATATTGTAAGTAGTAATATTGCAACGTTATTGCAATATTTGTTGCATATAATATAAAGATATAATAATATAAAGACATAATGTCGTATTTTATTTGCATCCGTTGTATTATGTTACATTTAATTCCTATTTTTAATTTTTTTTCTTTAATATATCAATTGTACAGTATAAAATCTTACAATAAATCAAAAAACAAAAAGTAAAGGACTCTTAATTCATACTATTATGCCCTTTTTTATCTTATTATTGTTTCAAGAATTAAGAGTCCTTTACTTTTTGTTTTTCAATTTGTTGCAAGATTTTATACTGTATAATTGATATATTAAAGAAAAAAAATTAAAAATAGGAGTTAAATGTAACATAATACAACGGATGCAAATAAAATATGACATTATAATTTATGTCTTTATATTTTATATATCTTGTATCTTATTTGTGTCCATTGTACGTTATATATGTGTGCAGGTCCTTACTTATATAGTTGCAGCAAAAATATATATATAATGACGTTCGATATTTTATGCATATAAAATTAAAATTATAAACGTGATTAATTCTTATTGTTATAATTAATGAGCTTTTTTTAACCAAGCATTTTTATAATAAATGTAATAGCATAGACATTTTTTGTAATATTTATAAAATAATTCTGCAACATTGCTGAAGTAATATTGCAAAAAGAAGCCTTCCTAATGTCTCTGCAACATTGCATTGCAATATGCAACGTTGAAATGTTGCAGCAATATTGCTACAAGTTTCTGTGCCGTACGAGTATAGATACGTATGTGTATATATATTTTGTATAATATTTCTCTTTAAATTTTAACTCCAAGTATAAATATTAACTCCAAATATATATTGTGATACAAGTCGACACAAGTATCATTCTGTCTTTATTACTCATGGAATGCAAAGAAAGATAAAACGATATGTATATGTGTCAATTTGTGTAAATGGAAGGCATCTTGAAGTGATGCTGTGTGAGAAAGATAAGGAGGGAAGAGAAAGAGAAAGAGAGAAATTAGATAGAGATACTGGGTTATTTATTACTCAGGGCTCTTTTTTTTCGAAGAAAGTTCTGAACTGGTGATACAATAATAAGTTGGAGTGAAACGAATATAGTTTGTTTTACTCCAACTTATTGCACCGATTCACACTAGTTCAGATTCAGAACTTTCTTCGAAAAAGAACAGATTTCGCGCATGTGCTCTTCATCTTGTCAACAAAATCAATTGTATTACTGTATTGTTATACGAATTCGCAAAATGTCTTTACTAGTTCGAAGATGCAAATTCGATAGTTACTGGTATTCAACGTTCGTAAATAGGCTAAAGCTTCACAAATTACATGCTTGGTCGTTAACTAACCTAATTTGGACTTCGACAAGTTTTTGCAATGCACATGCGAAACCGAATATTTTGGATGATAGAACTAAAAAGTTTTTAGATTATCTCACGAATGAGTACAGAAACAAGTCCTGGCAAAGTAATAACTTTATCGATTTTATCGATTTAAATGCTTCCGGTAGTTTATTTAATGAAAGAGTACAACTCGTGGAAAATATTCAAAATTTGCATGACTTAGGTAAATGGAGTATGTTCATGACAATTGACATTATTTATTATAGTTTATAACGAAAAATTTTTTTGTAGGGCAAGACGTAGAGATAAAAAAATTAGCGAAAGAAGAAAAAATGTTATACAAAGAACAATTAAATGAACTTGATGAAAGATTGTTGCATATTATACTGACAAACATGTACAAAGATTTTTATAGTAACATCATTGTTGAAATAACAGCAGGTGTTGGTGGTCAGGAAGCAATGCTGTTCGTCAAAGACTTGTATGAGACGTATATAGGTTATGCCAAGTATTTAGATTTGGATCATGAAGTGATTGATATAGAGATGACTGATAATAAAGGTATTAGACAAGTCAGTATTATGATGTCTGGCGATCAAGTCAAAAAGTTCCAACATGAGGGTGGTGTACACCGAGTACAACGGGTACCAGCTACAGAAAGAGCAGGCCGAGTACATACCAGTACTGCCTCAGTAGCTATTCTGCCAGTGCCATCAGAAATACAGATTATGATTAATGAGAAAGATCTAAAAATAGAGACAAAAAGATCTTCTGGTGCAGGTGGTCAACATGTGAACACTACAGACTCTGCAGTGAGGATAACGCATTTGCCAAGCAGGCTAAGCGTTACCTGTCAGGTACATAGATCACAAGGTAAAAATAAAGAAATGGCGATGGACAAATTGAGGAGTATTCTATATGAACAGCAATTGAATAAACAAACATCATTCACGAGTAAATTACGGCAAAAGCAAATGGGAATGGGATTCAGGAATGAGAAGATCAGGACATATAATTATAATCAGAATCGTGTGACTGACCATAGGCTAGGCCAGAATGGAACTTTCTACAACTTGATAGAGTTTATGCAAGGTGGAGCAGCTCTAGAGGAATTGGAGGACAGATTGTATAATCACGTACGGATGGAAACTCTGCTAGAAATAATTAAAAAACTAGAGTCACAATCAAAGTAATGTTAATCCATTTTAGTGTTATCATTTTAATATAAAAGATTGTACATAGGATTTGTTTTACATAGGCAAGCCATTGTACAGTACACATAATCAAATATATGTAATATATGTACCAACACATTCTCATTGATATTTGATCGAGATGTCATTCCTCTCATTTGATAATAAGATAGACTGTGATTTAATTTTATACGCGCGTGTGCGCCCACACATACGAACATACACACACACACACACACACACACACGCACGCACGCACGCGTGGCACGCACGCACGCACACGCACACACACTTGCCGAATTTGCTGATAAACATACGGAATTTTGTATTTATTTTTATCTTATTTGTGTGATGTAAAGCAACTTTACTTATTTCATTAAATACAAAAGTACAAATACAGTAATATACAAAATTCATATGTTAATTTCATCTTCAGATTGGCGCTTTCTCTTAATTCTTAAGAATCATGGAAAAGATCCTCGTCATTGATGTATACATATTTCTTTCTATATATTTGGATTCCATATACCTTATCTTCATCCAGGCCTAAGCAGATTGCACACACATGATATCGCTATCTGAAGAGGCTTCAACATGCAGCACAATAAGGATCCCATGAAAAAAGTTCTATTATTTCTTCATTTAAATAATCTAAACTTATCTAAATTTTTAAATAGGGACTTTTGTACTTGTGCAGATATGCAAATTCTGAAGCAGTCACTCATCAGATATTAATTCCACTCTCTTTTCTTATTTCTTCATTCAGGAAATTTATTTTCTCATCCTTTTCATTTTCTAGTTAAACAGAAATATTTATATAATTATTATATTTCTATCAGGTCTGTCCAATTTAAGCTCCCCGGAGCCAAAACGCAAAACCATCGACGCAAAAAGATTCAATGTGGGTAAAATTTCGAAGACTAAAGTGTTGATATGCGTCACGTTTATCAACACTTTACAGTCCCCGAAATCTTACCCACCAATTGAATTCTTTTTGCATCGATAGCGTTTTAGCTCCGGAGCTCAAATTGAACATGCTTGTTCTGAATATTAATTTGCAAAAGTAAAATAAAAAATTAATTTAATACCTCTTAAATCTGATTTTATATCATCTTCTTTCTTTGTATTAATGTTCATAATACGCATATCCATTTCTTGACCTTTTTCCAAACGCAGTCGCTTCGTAGATCCCTTTAATATGAAAAAAAGTCAAAAGTCTACATATAATGCTAATAATGCACTTTTTTAAATTGATCAAGTATCGGATTATAAAGGTCACTACCTTGTATGATCTGTTATCTCTTCGTCCACTTTCACCTTCATCTTCACTATCACTATATTCATTCTCATGTTGTATTCTCTTATCTAAATCACGTTGAGGCAGTCTTTCATCAAGATTCATCTTCTCTTCAATTTCTGAATCTTCAATAACGGTACCATCCTCTGGTATTGCCTGAACTTGTACGCCAGGTGCATGAGGTAGCATTCTCAGATTTTCAAACAACCTTGTTCTATGATAAAAGCCAATAACGAATTAGTTTGTTAGTATTATATATAAAAGTAAACAAACTATATAGAAATGAAAATCGGAACTTACTTAATTTTGTCGAGGTATTCGGAAGTGTTTTGATTTGTCATATTTGAAGGACTAATATGCAATTTAAAGTCAGGGCCAAAATATTCAAAGTAATCGTTATATGGAAGCTCGTTAGCAATTTCACATCCGAGAGCCACCGATGTTTCATATGTCCAACATCTGGATACATTTCTGATAGTATAACCACCACCTCCCACCATCAAGAAAGGTAAATTATATCTCTTCACAAACTCTACGCATTTACCGTGGCCTCTCACAGTTAAATTGAAGCATCCCAATCGATCACCTACATAATGATTAATATTTGCGTTGAAAATTATGCAATTTTATTGTGACATCACTTCTATTTAAAAAAATTTTACCTGTTAATGAGTCTGCTCCACACTGTAAAACAACAGCAGAAGGTTGAAATGTCTCCATCACTTTAGAGATGATAGGAACGAATATTGATTCATAACTTTCATCATCCATGCCATCCCTTAAAGGTATATTAACTGCATAGTATTTTCCCTGTTAGTAATGACAAAAAGAAACCGTATATTCTAGTAATGAGTTAATATTTCAGATAAGTAGTACTATAAATACTATATATTACAATATTTTAATAATTTTTTTTACCTTTCCTGCTCCCATATCGCGAAGATCTCCTGTTCCAGGGAAATATTCGCCATACTTATGAAATGATACCGTCATTACTCTATCCGTTGTATAAAAAGCTTCCTCTACACCATCGCCATGATGAACATCAATGTCGATATACAAAACTCTCTGATGATATTTTAGCAATTCCAAGATCCCAAGTACAATATCATTTACGTAGCAAAAACCAGAAGCTTCACTCTTCTTTGCATGATGTAAGCCACCGCCCCAATTGATACAAATTTCTGAGGCTTGCTTGTTGAGTTTAACAGCAGCAGCTACAGATCCACCAGCTGATAATTGACAAAATTCGTACAAACCATCAAAAACAGGGCAGTCTTCTCCTACGTTAACTGTCCCACAAAGAAAGAAATATCAAAATGTTACAAAAAAACATTTCAATCAATCATTATTATTCAACAATAATGTCTTACATCGTTGCATTTGTTTATTGTATTCTCCCATATTATCTGGCCGTATTGATCTCAAAAATCTGATGTAGTCATCGCTATGAAATTTTGTCATTTCTTCTGCTGTAGCTTTATGAGGTCGCTATAATAACAAAAACATAAATAGATTATAATAACCACATTCTAAATAAATTTATTTTGATAGAAAACTATAAACAAATAAAAGATGAATACACGAATGGAAGATAATTATAAAAATGTATTTACATATATTTCCATTTTTCTATAAAGACCATAATTCAAGAGTAGATTGTGCGTCATTCGTATACGATGTGGCTTCATAGGATGTCCTTGACCATAATAATAATTTCCGATATCACCTAGTCAAATTGAAAAAAAATATGCATAAATAAATCAAAGCAATATATAAAAAATCTTAAATTTTTCATTATCATCAATTGATGTGTTTCAGTGAAGACTACAGTATACTGGAATACATTTGAGAATCTTTCGCCACTTTCTTCAAAAACCGTATTACTTTCCATTATGTTGATTGAATTATCGATTCAATACAGAAAATATTTTTGGGAATATGTACGATATATTGGAAAAAATAACTGTATTATCATAGTTTATCGTAATTACACTTGGATATATGGATTCACGATAGCTATGTAACCAAGAACGGCTGACGCTACGGTCGCGCGATAGCACGGTTGAGAGTCTGTCGGCTTAACCATGCAAAAATCGTATTATCAAACGTAATGAGCATGCAAATCTCAGTTTACTGTGCCGAGAGAATCGTGTTTCTTACTATCTGTCATCTATCAAGCGAAAAATAGACTGATATGTATTAGCGGCCGAATGTCAAGCGAGATGAAATAGAGGTCCATAAACGTGAGGTGCAACATATCTCGACGAGGTTCCAAGGTACATTTCTGTGGTTTTACAACAGCTCTTTCAGTACTTACTATCGTAGTAATAACAGACGCGCTTCTTGAATGGCTGCATGGCCATTTCTACAGATTCTGCTCTTGTTAAAATCGGATGAAACTCAATGAAACACTTTAGTACAGAATTAAACGAAGACCATGGGTAGTGGCTTATACTGACAACTGTACACTGCTGTACACAACTATATTCCAGTATACATGTCGTTCAAATCCGCCTGAACTCGCTTTCATTCGCTTCGATTCGATTGCACCCAGAGGGCTGGCGGGCTGAGGTTGGTACCCCCCCCCCCCCCCCCCCCCAACCTGTAAAGAGCGTCAGAGTTCCAGCGACATCTGGGTTAGAATTAAAATCAGTCACATGACACATCACAAAATAGCGCTAAATTCAAATCATGTCCTCGAAGAAAATCTTGGAGTGCTTCCCACTTTTGAAAGATTAAAGGTGAAAGATGAACGATTAATAGACGAAAGATTAAATATAAGATGAAAAAATTACTAGCACTATAATTAATATCAATATTACTATTGGATTAGGGAAAATGTCCCTTTACAAGTAAAGACTTTCAGTAACCCATATATTCTATTTCAAAAAAATTAGCGATTACACTTGATAGAACAACGTTTCAGCTTTCAACTTTAAGAATCTGTATTTTTAATTGGAATATGATGAATTTTAACGAAGTTACGAATAATAAAGTCAGAATGTTCCTTTCTATTTAATCCGTGAGTAACTCAGGAACAAAAAATCGTAGAAACATTTATAAAAAGC